CGAGGATAGGGCTGTTTCAAGAATTAAATCTATAGTAAACTTAGATAGAAACGGAGAGATAGGGTAACCCTGATGAACGCCACTTTCTGTAGTGAACTCGAGCGAAACGTACCATAAGCTCGGATTCTCCTTCATCTATTATTGTAGAGGGATTTTAATATTGAAATAAACCTATCGGGCACACCCTTTAGGGAAAGGCAGCGCCAGTGTTTAGAGTGGTCGACTGTGTCGAAAGCCGCTTTCAGATCGAGGAAGATGGAAAAGGTGGATCTACGAAAGGAGTGTGTCAGAATCTGCCGTTGATTTGATTGGCATTTGGATCGCTTCCTTGATTGCCGTCCAGTTTTCACTGAGTACTCCAGCTGATGGTTGTGCTGAGAGACGATCAGATAGTTCCGCTTCGAAGGCCGATTTGCAACCATTGCTGATACTGTATTGTGGGTAACCGTTTTCGATGGCTTTTCTGCGGTCGTTTATCAGGTGTATGGAGAATCTCGCTCGTAGCACAGCTCGGTTCATGTCCACGGGTGTTGGCCAGTAGAAGCGGCAGCTTTTAATGGATCCTCGCCAGCGGTGTCTGATAGCGATTTGGTTGATTTGAGTCCAGCACTGTGAAGAAGTTCTTGGTCTCCACTTAAGGCGGTGCCGTTTTTTGTGCGGGAAGTTCGTGCTTGACTGAAGCAGTCCTTGGCCAGCGCAAAGTTGGAGTAGGTCTTTTTCGTCGTCAGTCCGGTTAGCTGGGATCGCGTGCGAACCACTAAGTAGGCTTTCGGATTCGTCCATGGATCCCACTTGGGCATTGAAATCTCCAGCAACTGCCACGATGTCCGTTGACCGAGCACTTTAGAGCAGTTGAGAAACAGGTCCTTATATTACTCATCCTTCATTTCTAGCCAATTGCAATTTGCCAGTGCATACGCGGATACGACGGACAAGCATCGACGCTTCATTCTGTAGCTGTTGACTCATACTGAATCATCCAGACGTACAGCGCAAAGTCGGTTGTTAACCGGAATCCAGTGGAGAAGTAAACGCTCGGCCTTGACACAGCGCAATCCCAACACCAGCAACGCCGCGAGCTTCGGATGCCGAATCGCCTGACACACGG